TTGGTACCAGGGATTGAACTTCATGTCCTTGTGCTTTCAGGGCAGGCAGTGGAACCACTGAGCTAAATACCCAGCCCTGTGTATTTCTAATTAGTTCCTTCTGCTATCTTAAATCAGGTGCATTCGACATTCATCTTTGTGGCACCAGCATCTAGACATCTACTAGAAATGTCCCTTAACGCCTTTTTTGGGTAGTGCTGGGCCTCACATATGCTAGGCAAGCGCTCTACCTCTGAGCTACCTCCCCAAATCTACCTACCTGTATTCTAGACATCTCTCTACCATACATCCCTTGTTCCAGTTGGGCAGAGAAAGTTAGTATGAGAATTCATAAAAATGTTTTGTTTTCAGGTTACAGAATTAATACAATCTCACTTTAAGAAAAGTATGTTTAAGTATTTAAAAACTGATAGGTATTTCTGCCCGTCCTCACCTCCAATTCCACACCCTACAGGCAACCACTGAATGGGTTTCAATCTTGCTACCTCCCTGTGACCTTTCTTGCATAGGATTTCCAGCCTGAACTACCCTCAAAGGGTCAGGAGAAGCTCAGCTGAAGCCCCGTGTGCCCGTTTCCTCTTCCTAAGTCCAGGTGGAAGCTCTGCCTCCTCTTGCAACTCCTCTGGGTGCCCCCTCAGAACCATGTGGGCTGCTAGACCTCTGACAGATACATGAGACACTTTGTAAAGATAGACTGATTTAACTTCTCTCTCAGGCAGCAATGTCCAAAATCTCCCTCCAAAGAAAACTGCCTCCTTCTCCTAGTTTGGCTCCACCTATTTAGCTTGCGCCCAGAACCAGGCAGCTCCCCGGTCCCCCTTTATGTGAGCAGGCGTGCACAGAGCCCAAGCTGCCCTCACAGGCAGGACACAGGCAGGCATGCAGAGAATAAAGGACAGAGGAAGGGCAGGGAGGGAACAGGGCACATGTGTACACCTCAACTGTGGACCCAAGACCCCAGGAAAAGGCCCAGCTCAGACTTTCACTGGAGATTTAGAGGTCTGGATAATTGCATGATTTGAAATTCTCTGTGGTGTAAGTTACAGGCTTCTCAACAGCATGAGTGTCTCAGTCCCAGGATCGTTCTGCCTCAAAGGCATGTGCTCACACCTTGGGTCCTGTGGGGACCCCTTTTCACCTCTCTTTACTTTAGCCCTGCTGCCCCTCCCAGCAGGGCTTCCCGGAGGTCCCTTCAAGCCCCTGGTTCTTGGTCTTGTCTGTGTCCCAAAGGGAAGGCTCCCTCTCCACATGGGAATGAGCCATGACATACCACATCCCTCACTTTTTTCTGAAAAGCCTGTGCTCTAGAAAGCTGAAGGTGTTTCCACTCAGTGGTACCTACCTGGACTCTAGAAGTGTTTTACAGGTAAGGAAAAACACCCAAAAGGTAGTGGCTTCAGGTTCTAGCCCTGCACCCTGCCTGAGTCACCCAGGAAAACTTTATTTTCATTTGATTAAAAAGGGTTGAGCTTTTAAAAGAAAATGGGGCAATAAACAAAAAGATTAACCAAACGGCCTTAAAATCACAGAGAGTCAAGCCCTGGAGATGAGACCCATGTGTGGAAGTCAGTTCAGGATCAGCTCAGGTAGGACCCTCTAATGTGGATCACTTCCTGTGTCTCTGCCACCAGCCAGGGCCAGGAGACACCTCTCCTCCTTCCCTCTCAGGCCAGTCAGTGGAACCTGCCGTTCCAAGCACAAAGGCTTCTGGCATAAAGCAGAATAGCAAGGATAGGAAGGGACAAGGGGGAGCAAGGTGCCTAGAACTTCCTTGAGTACTGCTGGCAGAGGCCAGTCTCTGATCAGGGGGCTAGAGAGACACCTACCTTCACACCGCCATCCGACTTCTTGTTCAATAAGCTTTTGGCAGCTGTGAAAACAAAGAGGAAAGTCAGTGCTTCTGCACTGTACTGGCTCCTCAAACTGAAATCCAGAAGCCAGATCTGCAAGAGACTGCTGTGTCCGACAGGGGGCCCAAAAGAGGCCCTCCTTGGGAGCCTTCCACAGGAAGGGCCTCAGGAGCTCATCAGGACCCTCCAGGCGGCACCCCAGGATCTCCTCTGCCGCAGAAGAAGGCTCGGTGGACACAGACACCCTGTGCTTGGGAGGAGAAACCACGTTCAGTACTGGAGCTGCCTGGGGCCCAGGGCACAAGCCGGAGGGCACAATCCCTAGATGCCATGGAAGTTCTCCAGATGGCCACACTGGTAGGATGCAAGACATCTCCGGAGTGTTCTCAAGAAACAGAGCGTCACAGTTCACAAAGGAGACCAGGCGTGAGGACAGACACAGACACAGAAACCAGCACCACCTACAGGAGGGTGTTGCCAGGGGGTGAAGCCTTCCCTAGGCAGGACCTCACCAAGTTTGCTGGGTCCTAGCTGCTACCCTTTACCCAGGCTCTCTGGGCACCTGAGCAAGAAGGATGGAGCAGAATAATCAGCTGTGAAGTGGGTTCTAGCCAGCTAGTGATGCTCAAGGCTCATGAGAGCTCCATACCAGAAGGCGGGTAACACCAAACAGCCACAAGGGCTGCACTGCAAGGCAGCAGACAGTGCTGGGGAGGCACAGGGAGATGGAGTCAGCCCCCAACAGTCTGATCCACCTGGACTGCCCTGGTTTTTTTATCTTGGTTCCCTCACTTGCTAGCTGTGTGACCCTGCATGAGTTACTCAGCCTCTCTGAGTCTCTATTATTTATCTATGAGATGCAGTGATACAGGATCAAGGTCAGAGGATATTAGTGAACAATACTTAAAAGGCACTCAGCCAGGTGCTGAGTAAATGAAATTACTCATTAAGCACAGTTGTCACGATTGCTTTTGCCTTTTGGATGGCTATTCCTACCTGAGCTGTATTCCATCTTTCTCCAGGGAGAATAGAGGTCCTTCCATCACAAGATTCTGGTTCCAAAAACTCAGGCCTTTGGTCCTATCTCCAGTCATGCTGGATTTGAAAATAACTTTTGTAAAAAAACGTGTTTAACTGTAAGCCTGACCAAAAGCCTGGCTGAAGGCTTTGCAAACAGCCAGTTTTCAACTCTGGTTGCCCACCAGCATTACCTGAGGATTGTTAAAAAAAAAATGCCCAAATCTATCCCATCCGCTCAGGACTCTGCCTTCATCAGTCTGGAGCAGGCCGAGCGCAGGGGTGGGTTATGAGCTCCCAGGCCAACCTACGTGGGCAGGGTAGCGTGCTCCCACCATCCTGATCTTAGGCATCGCCAGGCTATTTTCCACACGAAAGAGAAGAAACTAAGGCCATGCCAACACTTGCTCGGGGTGTGGCAAGGACAGGATCCAAACCGAGGGATGGCTGACTGAATCCGAGGCTGCTGCTTCCACAGCCTTTCAGACCCGGAGGCCTGCAAACCCCAGACTTCACAGTTTTGAGGGGCCTGGCTTTCTCTGGGGGGGTCTTCAACGGTGCTGTCAACTAGTCCTGGCACTGGGTGGCTCCAGGCCACTCCTAGGCTTCTCCATAGGTCAGGCCCTCAGCCACTGGGAGCAAAGACTCTACTGCCCAGCTCCATGTCCCCAGGCTATTGCCTCCTGAGAGTTGGCAAGCGCCCAGCATGCACGGCTGGTTAGGGGGCTCCATAACACCAATGCGCTCGCAGATGCCAAGTTAGGTGGTCCATCTGTCATGCCCATCTCAGCCCACAAGCATAGGACTCGCCTCCCTCGTGAGTGGGCCTGGCATGCTGGCCCTCCTGGTGGGGTGGCAGGGAGCCGAGGCAGGCGGTTGGGGAGGACTCATGCCACGTACCTTGCCCGGCCAGGCCGGCGGCGCTCGCGGCAGGGCAATCAACCTATTAAATTATGTAGTATGTGCCAGAACCATTTGGGTCCTTGGTTCCAAACCATTAGTTAGCCACTCACACATTGGAATTTGTAAAATACATGTGGCAGGTAGGGTGAAGTGTCAATTTGATTGCCTTTGGGATCTGACTGGGAAGTTGGTGGAGCACACCTCTGCCTTTAACCAGATTTATAATGAGAATCAGGGAAAAAGTAGTGAAGGGTTTGCAAAACCTAAATTCTGACTGCCAAAAGACCCATGCATAATGTTGGGGCCAAATGTGTGGTTGCTGAAGAGTTTAGACACATTAAAAAGAAACCAAGTACTTTGTATGGAAGCAAGAGAAAAAAGTGCCTGGAGAGCATCTCAAGAATAAAAAAGCAGCCAGCCCTGCAGCAGACTGGGGCCTGAGAGGACCAGGCTTGGACAGGACACAGGGAGTATCGAGCCTCCACTTTGTGGAAATGGCTTCGGAGCTTGTCCCATGACCACTGACAGTAAGGGTCACAGGTAAAGCCTGACTTGGTGAGAAGCAGGTGCTTCCCCTGGGTAACCCAGTCACCCGTGCTTAAGGCGGTGAGGATGCTGAGCCCCACAATCAGACCTTCCTTCCCAAGGACCTAAACGAGCCCATCACTGAGAGCTTGAGCACAGATTGCCCCCTCCATGTTCTGAACAATAGGGAGCCAGGCACTCAGGCTCAGGGTGAAGGGTTCGGCCTCCAGCTCCTCAGAGACACAGGCCTTCTTCCTCTTAAAGGAGGTGGCCAGGAGAGGTGGCTATTCTCAGCCTGTGTTTCACAGCATGCTGAAGTGGAGGTGCCCAAGAAATGAGCCCCCAGGTAGAAACAAAAGCTGCCAAAGTCAGGGAGCCGTGACTTCATGACTAATCAAGCTATTATGGTCTGGGGCTAAGCTGCACCCCACGTTACAGATCAAATCAGAATAGCCTAGCTTGCACCAAAGGAAGCACAAGTGCCTTTCCTTCTTGGTGATACCTGTAGACAGTAATTTCTGCAGCAGCTTCTGAAGCTCACTGTCCTCACCTGTCCCAGAGTCAGGCAGAATAGGCTACCCTGGAATGCTTGCAGCATTTTTTCTTTTGTTTTTTTGGCCTCCTCTGACCCAGGGCAAAGCAAGCTCAAAGACCAGCTGAGGTCTGGGCAACAAGGACAGGAGGCTCTTCAGGGATGGATTAAAGTGTTTGTCCTAGCAGAGAGCCTGATTTCCTGAAACCAGGACAACAATTTCTTGAAATGGAGGTGGCGGGGTCAAGTGGGGGCCAAGCCATAGGACAGGCTACTTGCTATTCATTGGCCAGGCTAAAAAAGAAGCAGGAGTCTGTCTTCACATTTCTTCAACTGGGAGAGGACAGAGGCTAGATACCACTCTGGGGGTGGCACAGAAATGTCCTTGAGAGTGTCCTCTAGAAAGGCTCTTGAGCCCAGAAAGCACAGGCTGCAAGTAAGTAAGAGGACAAGAAGCACAGCGTGGGGCCAGAGCTCCATCTCTACTGGAGATGGCCAACTGCTCAATCTTGCATCCCTCCATAAGGGCAGAATCCAGGAGCTCAACTGTCCCCTCATAGGTACCCGGAGCAGAATGAACCTCCAAGCCAGGGTCACAAAAGATGGGCCCGAGGTGAGGCACTCATTGGGTTCCCTATCCAGTGCTGATATCTGGAGCCCTGTGGCTCTAGGGCTGGGGCTCTGAACTCCTAGAGCTTCCTGTCTATGGCTGCTTCTGAGCTAAGGCCTGTGGGTTACCTGGAGCAGCACAGCTGAGCCTGGCATGACTTGAGCTGAAGGGAGCCACCCCTGCCCAGAGTGGCCCCCCACTCTGGCTGGTGGCTGGTGTCCCCGCACAAGCCCCTCTCCATGGCGGTGCAGGAGGAAAGCAAGGGAGGGAGTCTGTTAGGAGGAGGAGAAGGGGGGTCTTAAACCAAAACAGCGAGGTTAGAGGGAAAGAAGACCGGGAGAAGGCAAGCTGGGGTGGTTAAGCCTTGACATTAGTCTTTTCCTCACAGAGGGGCCTCTGTGCTACCAGTTGAGGGCAAACAATGATAGGATGCGGGTGAGAGCAGGGTCAAAGGGCAGTGGAGTGTCTTGCATCTTAAAAAGAAATGTCAAGTATTGATTTACAAATTATTGATTCCCAACTCTCCCAATTCCTGGTGCAAATTTAGGCAAGTAACTTCCTCTCTACCTGCTGGTCTTTATTTGTTTATTTTTATAGCTAGTGTCACAGGGAATATTTTAAGTGGGGGCCTCTGTAAAAGGTTTAAAGATCTGGAAGAATTTCTATTAGTCATCTCTACTTGGTCACAATAAAGTAAGAGATCATCCTAGTTGGGAGCAATGGAGAAGACTTACTATACCTCATCTCTTTCCTCCAGCACATCCTCCAATATCCTAAACTGGCCAAAATCTTAAAAGAGCTGAGTCTTCAGAGAATTAAATAAGAATGCACAGGGAGCAGGCACACTGGAGGCTGAACAGGCTACTTCTTGAGAGGCTCTAGGGAATAGAATTCATAAATCTGAGCCCAAACATAGGCTGTGTGCCCTCCCCACCAGGACTCTCAGTAACAGAAGCCCCTCAGAACCGGATCCTCATGCATCCCGCTCAGGGTGCTGTCTGACAACCGGCTCTGTACCTCACCCACTCACTTCGGAACAATCAAAATACACAGCTGGGAACACATACCTGAAAAGTTCCTGGAGACAAGCATGGTCGTGAGGATGGCACCCTGGAGAAAAAGGACAGTCCTTGTGAGCTGGGCTGGACTCAAGGAAGGGCTAACCGGCTCAGGCAAAGGCAGCTCCTGGCCAGAGCCCAAAGACATTAGCTTTCCGGAACCTCTGACACACAACTTCCTAGCCTCACTCCAACCAGGAGGGGAGCTTCTTCTGTGACAGAGAAGAGCCACACTAACAGGTAAGGCTCACCTTCAGTTTTCTCCGGGCATTGAACTTGCGCAAGCACTCCACGGTCTCCTGGCGATGCATCATAGAGGCCACAGTGGATCGTTGCTGGAAGCCAAAGAGACAGGGCCATGAACCCCCAGCCCAGACCCTCTGCCTTTCACCTTAGTCCTGGCATTGGTGGACCCCCTACAGTTGTTCTGAAGATGAAATGGAGTCACAGATGTGAACATGCTTTTAGAATAAAAGCACCATGGGCCGGGGATTTAGCTCAGTGGTTCCGCACCTGCCTCGCAAGCAAAAGGACCTAAGTTCGATCCCTGGTACCAAAACAAAACAAAACAGAATGAAAGCACCACTGCAAACCCAAGGTTAAGTGAGGACAACCTGAATATGAAAACATTAATAACAGCTAGTAGAAGATGGCACTGTAATCTCTGGGCAAAAAAGGCTGCGCATGGGAGAGAGTATACTATCTGCTTTGATCCTGGCTCAGTTATTCCTTCAACTATTTACTGAACACCTGCTGTGGTCCACATTCTGTGTAGTGAGAGAAAAGGCAGCCTCCTGCTCTCCACAGAGATCACATACTCCTTCCCAGAGCTCCTCCCAACACCCAGCAGTCCTGAATGAAGCAGTGATCTGAGACGCTAAGGATCCGTGCCTTGAAGCATCAGTTCTTTCCATCATTATGGACAAAAATTCTTCTTCTCTGTATTTACTGTTAACTTCCCTGTTTCCTTCAGCAGTGTACCAGAAATGCTCCACATTTCCCTGGAGACTTAGGGTCACCAATACAGCATAAATTATTATGTAATGGCATAACACAGTGACATCCACAGGGCTACAGAGACACAGGACTGCAGAGGGTAGACCTAGCAAAATGCCCTAGGACACAGCACTTCCCTAATTCACACCTGCCTGTTTTAAGTGGCTCAGCACTCCCTTTGCTACTGCTGTCTTGGCCAGACTGTCAGATGAAGAAATACTAGGACACACTTTGGTGTCCACAATCCCACAATTCCTGCCGCCTACCACCACTCCCTTTCCTGGCTCCCGAAGCAACTCTCCCCATCTTCTCTCCTCTCCCTATGTCTCTCATTCCACTTCCTCTTCCTCCTTGGTGTGATCTTCCCCACAAAGAGAAATGGGTGGTTACTTCAGCCCTGACCCACAAGCCCATCTCTGCCTACCCCAACCAACTCGGAGTGCCAGAAGCCTCATTTAGACACAGTGTGGGCCCCTGGTGCTGGCCGAGGGACTCTTTCTCTCTTCTTGCTGTCAGTTCTGTGCTTCTCAAGTAGCTAATATTTTTAGCCCCTTCCTCTGGACTAGTTTTCTCTGTGGTCTATACAATGCATTCACAATTCTCCTTAAACAAAATCTTTAACAAATGGTTGGAACTAGAGTACATTATGTCAATGAAATAAGCCAGTCAGGGAAAGACAAGTACCACAGGTGGAAGTTTAAAAAAGAAACATGTCCATTTGAATATAGAATAGTGATTACTAGAGGTTGGAGTAAAAGGTGGCTGGATTTGAATAATGCACGCTGTGTGCACGTCGTAAGTTATGACAGTGTAAAAGTAATATGAATTAACTAAAAATAAAATAAAGAGAAAAAGCTCCCTGACGCTGCCTTCTCCTCTAAGAAGCACCATTTTTGCCCCTTTGCTGCCTAGCTTCCCACATCTTCCTTAGCCCCACTCCCTCATCACCTTACTCAAATCAGGCTTGCATCTCATGCCACTGTTTGTGTCTGCAAAAAGATAAAACGGTGGTCAGAGCCCAGGCAGCCTCTTCCATCTTTAGCAGGGACTCTTACAGTGTCCAATGACTGATGCTCCTGTACAGAGAGCCCTTGCACCTTCCACTCTGGACTCTGACTATGGAAGTTCTTGTCCTCAGTCCCTTTTGCTGGTACATCTGAACTCACAATGTTGGTATTTAGTTGCCAACCCTTCTTTTACTGAAGCAACACAATCCCACAAGAGTCTGGTCAGCATGGGAACAATCCCATCTAGTTCTACAGTTTCTTCATCACCTACACAGAAATGACTATGATGTGCATTTCCAGTTTTTCACATCTTTTCTAATCTTGTTTGTTTTTGGTACCGGGGCTTGAACTCAGGTCCTTGTGCTTGTGAGGCAGTTGCCAGAACCACTGAGCTAAATCCCTGGCCCATCTTTTCTAATCTTTATAGTCATATTTTTTGTTTCTTTTCTTTTTTTCTTTTTGCAGTGCTAGGGATCGAACCTAGGGATTCCTGCATGACAGGCAAGTGTTCTACTACTAAGCCACAACCCTAGGTCATGCAGACATGTTTCTAACTGTCCCCTGGCTGGGATCCCTTGATGCCACACTCAGTGAGTACAAAACAAAGTGATCATCCTTTCTTACAAATTAGCTCCTGCTCCGGGTCAGTGAAGGGTACAACCCTCTGCTGAGTGACCATCTTGGAACGTGTCTTTCTATATACCACTGGTCACCAAATCCTCTAGATTTTATGTCCCAAATATTTCCTGAGTTTACTCACCATACTCCACAATCTGTCTCTGCCCTTGGCCCAGACCCCACCTGGTCTTGCTTAGATAGTCCCAACAGCTTCCTGAGTTCTCTGTCCCCAGACTCTTTCCTCACTGATTCCACTTTCTACACAACTTCCAAAGTGTTCTTAAATGCAAATTTCATATTCTCTTTAAAACCCTTAAATAGTTTCCTATGCTTTCAGAATAAAATCCTAACTCCTCAGGCAGAAACTTGTAGGTCATGGAATCTTTTTGGCCTTGTTGCCTCACATTCCTATAGTCATAGCCTCATCAACAACCAAACTACTTAACATTCCTTAAACTCAAAAATTTCCCATGGTCTCTCACTCTGGCCCACGCTAACCTCTCTCTGTAGGGTGAAATCTTGGGGAACTCTTAGTCATCTGCCAAGAAGCAGGACAGAGGTCACTTTTCCCATGCAGCCTTTGGTGACCCCACTGCCCATCAGGGACAGCAGGAACTTCTTGCACTCCTGTTGGATACTTTTGCATACTGTCCCACTGAAGCATGCTTGTCTGTTTGATCACCTATCTTCCCCAGATCTTTGGGGAAGGGACCATGCTGCAATCATCTTTGTAACTCCAGCACCTGCCTGGTGACCAACATCAAAGAACCATTCAGGAAACACAGGAAAGGACAAGTAAAAATGTATTATAATTGTCAGGATAGCTAATTACCAAATCATTTCTTGTGTCTGAAAGGATTGTGTAAGAGGACACAGCATGTCAACCATATAGACTAGGAGGGTCTTCCTGCCTGCAAGCTCTGAAAGTGAGCTTTGGGATGTTCCTTGCAATAGCTTACAGGACACTTTTGTTTATCTGGGGTCTTGGTCATGGTACCAGGAGAGCTGCAGAGCTGGGAAGCACCTTGTTTCTGTCAGCTGCTTTCTCCTGTCAGCTATCTGAGTCTGCAAAGGTCACCCTGAGTCCTCACTCAAGAGCACAGCCTCAGAACAGCAAGTGTGGGAGAAATGAGCAAAGCCCCTCTGCTTCCCAGAGTCTCCCAGTGAACTTCTTTGACCTTGGACACCACTCAGCCCCTACTCAAAATCCATGGTGATTCTCTGATGGTAAAAAGATGAATAAGGAGGGCACTGAGGGCATGTGGAAGGCCATCCCTAAGCTCAGACCCAGGGTGAAGACACTTACGCAGACCCATGGGTGCTTGAGAGCCTGGTCAGCTGTGATGCGCTTTGCTGGGTTTATGGTCAGCATCTGGTTGATCAAGTTCTTGGCTTCAGGTGTCACTGTGTCCCATTCTGGTGATGGAAACTGAGGAGCAGGAAGACGGAGAGGAGGGATATGAAATCTGTGTGCCTCACCCTGAACTGCAGGCTGTGTCTTCAACTCCTACCACCGGGATAATCTTTGGTACCCAAAGCTGCCTCACAGAGAGGCAGAGAAGCCCTGGGAATATCACAGAACTTGTGTCAACTTAAAAGACTGGGAGAGAAGAGACTGATCATGGTCAGAATGCCAGAATATCAGATCAGAGCACGAAGGCAACTCTAACTCTCTGGTTAAACTCCATCTCTCCACTCAGGATAAAAGAGGCTCGTTGTTGTGCCCAAGGTAACACTGCAGGGCAGGAGCCTCTGGACTTCTCATCCCTGTGAGATGCAGCACACCATGAAGCTTCCCCATTCTTTATAAAAAAGATCAAAAGGCTTCAGTGGGTTCCTTACTTTTTTAGCTATGAAGACTGATGTTAAAAAAGTTGTTCCCTGAAAAATGGTGGCAAGAATTAAGTCCTAGATGCTAATCCCTGAGTCCTCAAAGTCCCTCCACGCCTGTGTCACATGACACACTAATCATGCCCCCTCCCTTGGACAGAACCAGAGGGGCAGGAAATCCACCCCACTCTGATGTCCTTGCTGGGCCAAACCAGTCCTTACATCGTAGGCTCCAGCCTTGATCTGCTGATACAGCTTGTGCTGATCCTCATCCCAGAAGGGAGGGTAGCCCACCAGGAGGATATACAGGATGACCCCTAGGAGACAGAACACAGGTCGCTGGGGTCAGTTAACTCCTTCCTTGAGGAGCAAAGAAGGCCATGCAGGGCTCAGGGCCACCCAAAATGGTAAGGGTCAGCCTGGAATTAGATGTGGACGCCACCAGCCCCTCCTACTGTGCCTCACTCCTCCCGTCACCAAGTCACATCAGAGATTAGGCATGATCTATCCTCTAAGGCGTGGACAAAGCTTTCTCCAAGAAGGATGCAACATAATCCAGGAAGTTACTTGGAGAAGAGGGTGGATGGGATCAGCCCTCCCAGGGGGACAAGAGCAAACACTGTGATTTCACATACACCAGGCACTTGTGGGACCCGCAAGGAATAGCGATGTCTCTTTCTCGCCATCACTGGAAGCCGAGGGCCCTTAACACGGAAAAGCTGAGGGCGTGGAATGGGCTTACCGCAGGCCCAGATATCCACAGGTTTTCCATAGGGATCTTTCCTCAAGACCTCAGGGGACAAGTAACCTGGGGTGCCAGCAAAACCTGTAGCAGAAGAGAGGGCAGAGGCACAGTGAACCTATTTTCTCTTTTAGTCAATCCATATCGGCAATTTCCCCCAAAGCCATTTTCATTTCTGCTGCTTTTGCTGTATAAGCTCTCAGCACACGGCCTGCAAGAGGTGACACACTAGGCTTCTTGTACTTCCTGGAATCTAAATAAGAGGGCAAGTCTGGGTGCCTACCAGGAACTCCAACACCTCCCCAGAGGCAGCAGGAATGCATTGCTGACAGCAGCTAGACTCACTGTACTGAGTCATAAAGGGCCAGGAGGGATCTCTGTGCCCTCCCACCCTCCGCCACTCTCTGAAGAGGCCAGAACCATTAAAGGTCTGGCTTCTAGTTTTGAAAGAAGAAGGCAGATCAGGAAGAGGAGGAAGGGTGGGATTGCATTCTGGGAAAATGGGATCACCCTTACCAAACCAGGCCTGCTGTTCTCCCTGCACTTCGATAGCAAGGCCAAAATCAGCCAGCTTGACAGCAGCACCCTTGCATTTACTTGCCAGCAGCAGGTTCTCAGGCTGCAAAGGAACAGGAGAATCTTGTGAGGCACCCACCCTGCAGCCCAGAGGGAGCCCACTCTGGTCTCACACAGTACTACTACCTGGCACCAGGTGGCGCCAACACACCACAACGGGGCGGGGGGCGCTGGGCAGTACCTTCAGATCCCGGTGGACGATGTCATGCTGGTGAATGTGGTTTACACTTTCCAAAATCTGATGTATACAGTGGCTGAAAAAGTAGGAGGTTGAGAAACATCAAGTTCAACCACCTCATCCAAGACAGCATGCTTCAGACTAAAAGCACGTATCAGGTTCACAGAGGTGGACATCATCTAGTTCAACTCATTTTATTTTTTTAATGGACAAGTAGTACTTCTATCTCTGGTATGCTTAAATCACCTAACTGGCATATCCATCGCCTCAAATATTCATTATTATTTCTTTGTGGTGAGAACATTTAAATCTTGTAGCTATTTGAAACACACATTATTACTCTTGTCACCACAGACAAAAACCTACTCTTCCTGTTTGAAGTTACACCTACTGACCAACGCCTCTCCTTTCTCCACCCACACCAACGTCTATTCCTGGTAATCCCCTTCTACTCTTCGAGATCATCTTTTTTAGACTCCGCACAGAACTGAGACCATGTGGTATTTGTCTTTCTGTACCTGACTTATTCCACTTAACATAATGTCCTCTAGGCTCATTCATGCGTTATAAATGACAATTTTTAAAGGCTGAATAGGGTTCTACTCTATACATTGTACCTACTACCTAATAGTATTCTATTATATACACACACGCACTGATGTATGTAATATACATCTACACCATGTTTAGTATCTGCTCATCTGATGACACACTGTCTCTTATTGTGAGTGATGCTACAGCAAACGTGAGCGTGCAGGCAGCTCTTCAACAAAATTATTTCCATTTTGGGGGGAATTTACCCAGTCAGTAGTGGGACTGCTGGATCTGAGGAAGATTCAGTTTTCCCAAAAAGGCTGTTCTAATTTATAATACCATCAGTGTGTAAGTGTTCCCTTTCCTCCACATCCTCACCAATACTCATTTTATAGAAAAGAAAACGGAGGTCCAGGTATATTGAGTGGTTTTCCTAGAGTCACTCTCCAAATGGCAGAGGAGCCAGAACAACTGAGGTCCACCAGGCTTCTTTTGGCTGTAAAATCCAACACAACCAATTTGTTTCCCAAAGATCAGGAGATGCCCTAGACTCCTGAGAAAGGTGAAAGCATCCAACCCTTTCATTTTCTCCATATAGTAACTTTGTTCCTTGGTGTGCGCTCGCGTGTGGAGGTACTGTGGCTCAAACCCACAGGTACTCTGCCACTTACCTATGTCCCCAGTCCCCTTTTCACTTTTTTTTTTGGGGGGGAGGTAACCAGGGATAGAACTCAGGCCCTTGAGCTTGCAAGGAAGGTGGAAGAACCACTGAGCTAAATCCCTGGCCCTTCACTTTTATTTTGAGGTAGGGTCTTACCAAGTTGCCCAGGCTGGGCTTGAACTTGCCATGTTCTTGTCTCAGCCTTCCAAAATGCTGGAATTGCAAGCATGTGCTACTGTATTTAACTGTAATTTTGTGCTTAGAGAAAAGGCTTTTGCCAGCAAAAAGGAGAGTCCAGCTAAGCACCTAATTTGTTTTGGGGATGGGTTTATTTAAACATTTATTGAGTATCTCTAAGGCGTTATGCTTGGTTACAGACAGCATATACAGATGAATGAGACTAAGCAGCTGCCCCAAAGTTTATCATCTAGCAGGGGATAATTAAGCAAGTTTCAGAAACAACATATTTTTGGGGGTTCCAAACAGAGCACCTAATGAGCATTTCTGATAAACCCGCACAGAAAGACTAACCCAGAGTCATTCAGCTGCCATTCTTGAAGCAGACAGTCCACTGTGCAAACCCTTCTGCCAGCCCTGTGGTTAAATTCCTGGCAGAAAGCATGGCAGGCTAGAGCAGTGGTTTTCAAATGGCATGAGTTTATTCCCCAGAGGACATGCGGCATTGTCTAGAGACATTTCTGGTTGTCATACCACGGGGAAGGGGAAAGACATATATCTATGGCCAGGGATGCTTCTAAGTGCCCAACACCCTCACAACAAAAAATTATTCAGCCTAAAACACCAAGGGCACCGAGGCTGAGGCAGCCTGAGCTAGAGAAGACGCCTGGTCATCAGACACTGCCAGGTGCACTGGAGAGGGCTACAGAGCATCTGGGTGTTCTGGGCTGGGTGGCCTGCCTTTCTGAGTCCCTTCTCTAAAATCCAGTGCTGTGGCTCCTGCAAGAGCCAGGGGACTGCACCAGGCCCCTAGTGGCCGAGGCTCAGGCCTCCCACAGGACAGAGCCCAATGGTGGGCCAAAGAGACTTCAGGGCCAAGCTGCAGAGCTGAGTCTCCACAGAAATGTATAATTAGAACACAGCCAGGCTAGTGGAGAGCCTTCTGGCCTAAAATGGCAAAAGTGCGAAGTGTCCCACAGAGCCAGGCCAAGCCCACTGGTACACTCCCCGCTCCCCCAGCTCCCGAGCTCTCCTGCCCCCTCCTCCGGCCCACAGCCTGGTCCTCCCCTGCTGGCACTGGAATTCATCTCCCTACTTGAGAATTTTTCCTGAGGCTGAAGCATCTGAAGTTGATCGGCAAACATGGGCCTGCTCAGGGTTGAGAAATCTGTGAGGAAGCCACACTCCCCCACTCTCTAGAGGCAGCCTGAGCTGCCACGTAAGCCAGATAAGCTGCAGGTGGGAGGATCAAAACCAGGTTGTGAGGACATCATCCTCAGAGAGAAGTGGGATGGGGGAAGAGCTAAGGCAGGAAAGACAGCCCAAACCATGCTGTGGTAGGTGGCATTCGGCCTGTCACATGAAGGAGCCACCAGGGGTCAGGCAACAATCCCCCAGAAGGAGGGTCACATGCTGAAGGTGGTCAATGTGCTCAACAAGGTGACAGGCTGCAAGCTCCTGAGGCAGCTCCCTGCTTTTAGACTCTGGGGCAAAAACCATGCTTCCTCCGTCTCTGATCACAACACAGCCTCAGCCCAAGTACTGGTACATACTAGGGTTTGTCTGAGTTAAAAAGGGGGAGAGAGGGCCCTTGGGCATGATGGTGAATACACAGCCATGCAAAGAAGTGCTTCTGGGGTGGCAGGGTAAAGGAGACCTAGAAGAGACTTTACAAAATATTAATCTGGGTGTTGAATTTTTGACTTCTAATACTGCCCACAGAATGCAGCCCTAGCCTAGCTCTACAAAATCGATGTCCAGACAAGAGCACCTCTGATCTTCCCCAGAGACTATTCAAATAGGCACAACGCCAGCCTCTGAGGTAGCCAAGACTTCTTTCAACCCACGCTGCACTGCAACGACTGGGCCCCTTCATCTCACCTGGCATCTGCTTCACTGTAGTACTCTCTGGCCACAATATCTTCAAAGAGCTCCCCGCCAGTAACACTGTAACCAACAGGAGAAGAGGTCAGAGGCCACCTTAGTGTCCGACAGTAGCAGTCACACTGTAAAACAGCTTTCAGAGAAATCCCAACTCCACATGCACTTCGTCTGTGAGCTCAGCGTGTGCTCCATCCTTCGGCAACTTAAGGCTTCTCTTTGGAGGTATTGTGGGCTCACCCCTCCTTCTGGACATTTCTGTCTCTATAACCTACACGTTAGCTAACTCTCAGGTAGTGGTGAAGATACAGGGCTCTAACAGAAAATATGCGACCTACCCCAAAAGCCATAGCTTTGTTTGAGACCAATATGAACACAAGCATACAGCTGTCCAAGGACAGACCTACAACTGAGGGTGAAGAGTAATGAGACCATGGACACAGATACCCAAACCTGACAGACACTGGAGACGAGTTTCCAGGAGGGAAAGAGTCACTTTTAAGATACTAAAGTACAACCAAAGTAGAAGAGAGATCAAATGGAGCCCAGCTGACAACTAATAACAGCTACCTTCAGTTTCCCAGAATTTTTAAGGCCATGCAAAGAGCTGTACTTTATTTCTCCAATAAGGACAACATACCAAGGAACAAGAGACAAGGACTGGCACAAGGTTTGCTGCTGAACACACAGAAATGCACAGAAATGTGAGAGCAAAGACACCCCTAGGGGGCTTCAGGCCAGCTCCCCACCCATCCCCAGAGGAAGTTCACAAGCAAGTGTTTCTCCTTGAGCCAGGTGGAGGGGACAAGTGGCACTTACAGGTCAAACACGAGGTAGTGAAACCCTTCTTCAGAAATACTGTCATGGAGGCGCACTGCAAGAGAGGAGATAGGGACAGAGATTAACAGAGAGAAAACTTGGAAATCCTATTCTCCATAGCATCTCCACCCAGCTCCCTCCTGCCAGCCTCACCATGCGCTGCAGGGAGAAGGGACAACATACCCAACCCCCCAAACTGAGGTTATGCAGCCACAGAGCGAGACTGGTGCTACCTCCGAATGAGGGAAGAGAGAGGGGCTTCGTGGCTAAGAACAAGGATGGATAAGAGCAGGAACCTTCCCAGAGGGACCAGTCCCAGAGAAGGTGGTCCCCGGACACATGTGTGCAACAGGATGGCTGGGCATGGAGAACCAGAAGATGCCAAAGTCCAGGAGCTCTTGCAGAGGGGCAGATGGCAAGGGCAGACAGAGGGGGAGGAAGAAAGGAAGGTGGAGCCCAGCAGGAAGGCACAGGGAGCAGGGTAATAGACAAAGAGCCCAGGAGACCACATACACATTCAGGCAATGGTTTCAAGTGGGTATTCTGTGCCAGGCCACATGTTAGGTTCTTGGCACACATTACTGATTCCATAAGTGCTGGTTGAGCACTACTGGACCTCAGGCTAGGTGGTGGCATTTAGGAGAGACAAGCACAGTGTCTGCCTTCAAGCAGTTTATTATAATTCACTATGATGAATGTTGTTCCTATTTTATAGAAAAGGACCTTAGGGGCTGAGACAAAAAGACTTGTGCCAAAGGCCAAAGAACTAATAAGTGGTGGTCAAGATGTGAATCCAGGCATCTTGGGCTCCAAAAGCTGGTCATATCACTGCATCCTGTAAGAAACATGAGGCAGCCCACACATCAAAAAACAAAGCAACGGAGCTGGGGCAAAAGACTGCTCACAAATGTACCCGCAAGAGCATCACAGATGGGTCCAGGAGGGCAGGGCATGGAGAAGACCAGGGCAATTCACCAACTGCAAGAAAAGGCTGGCAAGCAGAATTCTGTTTCAATCCCCGCCTCCAAAACTCTTAGGCAAAAGACCAACCTAATGTCTTCTGAGGTTTCCTCTTCAAGCTTCTGCCCACAGAGCTACCTCTGGGTTAAATGCCAACCCCTGAGCATCATTCTAATACAGATACAACTTGCTTTGGCCGCCTGTCCTGATATTCCTGTCCCTCCCCTCACCTGAACTCTCTGGAGGAGGAACCTCTTTTCCATAGGCTCCCTGTGTGACCCTTGCTCCAGTCCTGGGCAGTTACAGGAGCATCTCCCAGAGTACTTCAGGAATGGCCTGACACCAACCCAACTGGTAAAGCATTCGAATACAAAGAAATCACAGTGTCTGTTCCTTGGCAGGCCTAGACTGCTTCCATATCTAGTGCCAAAGCATCTCCGGAGGGCTGAGGAGCTTCCCTACACCCCTTCTCACCCAATCAACATCAACCAGAAAGCAAACACACAACCCAGCTGCCCAGCCCTGAGCCATCACAAGCCCCTCCCTCTCTCCACCTGACAGCCCAAGACTCAGAGCTTCTACATCACACTGCCTACCCTACCTGAACTGCTTCAGTTATACACCGTCCACTCTTTCCTAGCCTGCTGATGACAGAAGAGGGCTTTCCGGACAGAAGGAAGGAGCTACAGCCAGACCTCTGTGTCTTCCCCGCTCACTAACCCCTTGCACTCAGGCGAGTTCCCTAAAGCCCTGCTGCTTCCCTGCTTCGTTTCCCACTTTGCTTCTCTGGTCGCAGTTGGTGCCTCATGCTGAGTCCTGCTGCGGCTGCTCCCTTGCTTCCAAAAGGACTTTCCATTTAATTAAAACTTTGCTATTAAAAAGTATTAAAGTGTGTAATACAAATAATCCCTTAGAAATCAGCTGTCCCAGAAGCCAAAGAAAGACCGGCTTCATTAGGGAGCTGAATAACAGCAGCAGGATGGTGAGCTGACAGGCAGCAGGTAGGACACTAACAACTGCTCCCAGGGGAGCCCTGGAGGCAGCCTAGCCTTGAGCCTCACCCCACCCCACTCCCCAGCCCACCCAGGCCCAATCCTACCCTGCCCCCAGCACCACAGGCCTGAGAACAGGGCCGGAAGAGCAGGCACCTAGGCCTTTGTCCAGACACGGAATGCCCCTTTCCAGGAAGGCCACACATGAAGCCCAGGTAGGAGGGGATTAGTAGAAGAGCAGCAAAGGAAGATTAATCCTTCCAGCCCACCCAGCCCCAGTCCCAATGGCTCTGATGTGCTCAGAGCAAGGCATCACAAGACAAGGGGTAAGAGATCTGAATAAGACTGCTATCATTTTTCTTTTTTATAATTTGTAATGAAAACTAAAAGGAAACTGGGGATAAGAGGAGAAAATTGTAGTTTTCTAAGCACCAACTGGCAGATTTATTTTATTTTATTTTATTTTATTTTTTGGTGCCAGGGATCGAACTCGGGCCCTTGCGCTTGCAAGGCAGGTGGCGGAACCACTGAGCTAAATCCTGTCCCTTGGCAGATTCTTGATGATAATGATTGAACTTATAATGACTGACACTTAGTTGAGTTGTTCCTATGTACTAAGCATTGTGCCATGTGTTTTCCATGTGGTATTTTACTAGACTCATATTAATTCTGCAGGGCTGCTCCTTAGGATGCCCCCATCTGACAGGAGAGGAAACAGGCTCCAAAAGAACATGTCCAAAGTCATACCGTGTAAGTGGCAGAACCAGGACTTGAAGAAAAACTGACAACTAGATTCTCGATACCGCAGAATCACTAGGGAATCACTCTGTCTATTCTTTTAGGCAAAGGAGTTTCCACCTACCCCACCATCCCTTGCAGCTCTGACTGGATCAACACATTCTTTAGGCAGAGGCTCTGAAGCAGGCTCAGTTGTACACACGGCTACGAAGAGGCACCCAGGCGTGCTACCACGGTACTTCTGGAGCTTCCAGATGACAGGATTTACAGCAATCGCACAAATAGGGAACTAAGCCCGACTGTGTGGTGAGCTCTGAGAAGGAAGTAAAGGGTGCTGCAGATGTGTAGAATAAAACATCTACCACCCAGGCAATTCTGCAGTAATGAGGGCTGGACCAAGCCTATGGATGGAAAGATCTAGGAAAGGCGCACAAAGCTTTGTGGCACTTCAGCAAGAACCCTAATACTACTCTTTCAAATCAGGGGAAGGAAGGTCAAGCCCAAACACCCAAATACCTGTACTTGGTATTTCAGACCTTCAAGGACTCAGAGACCCACAACTCAAATGCTGTGGTGATTTCTAATTCTTCAAAAACAGTCTAACAAACCTTGCTCCACAAAAAAGTATCACTGTTAAAAATGTCCACTGCACGGGGCCAGGGATTTAGCTCAGCGGTTCGGTGGCCTGCCTCGCAAGCGCAAGGACCCAAGTTCAATCCCAACACCAAAAAATAAATAAATAAATAAATAAATAAATAAATAAATA